ACACCTCACCAAAAAGCCAAAAAAGCCAAAAAGTCCTTCCCAAACCAGGTTTTTTAGTCCTAGGTTAAAATAGCCAAAATAGTAAAAAAATTCAAAAAGCCAAAAAGCCAATCCACTTCCCAAACGGGGGCTTTGTCCATCTATCATGCGTAATTAACATTTGGATAGAAAAAAAATAACACTTGCAAAATTAAAAAAATCAAATTGAAATTCAAAAGAAATTATAAGAACTACTAATATATTATATTCATTAAACTAGTGGTTCTTATTTATTTTTTTTTAAATTTCATTTCGGTTTTTCTAATTTTGCATATGATCTTTTTATGTTCAAAACACTAACAATAAGTAAATGGGGGGGGGGGACAGACCCGGGCAACTGTCCAAGTGGTCGTAGATAGGACATTTAAGTGTCCAAGTGGTCGTAGATAGGACATTTAAGTGTTAAGGCGAGTGAGTTTTAAATTTAAGTTTATACAAAAATGTTGACATGCGTTGTAATTTAATAACTAACATTATTGATATTTTGTAGGGGAAAAAAGTAATAAAGGGACCAAATTGTAACGAAACTGAAAGTGTAGAGTTCGATTTATTCAAATTAAAATTATAAAGATCAAAGTGAAACTTTGCTCAAATTAAAAGAACCAACAATGTAATTTATTTATTTATTTATTGATAAATTACATTTATCTCTTTTCAAGTTTGAAAATAATAAAATAAGTCTTGTAATTTTATTTTATTTTTGTTTTTTAGCCTCTGTTTGAGAAGTGGGTTGACTTTTTGGCTTTTTTGGTTATTTTAACATGGGCTAAAAAGCTTGGTTTAGGAATGATTTTTTTGACTTTTTGACTTTTTTGAGTTTTTTTTGTGAGAGAAGAATGTAATGATTATGGATTAGATGTGATGTTCTGTTTGTTGTGGCTAAAATAACCTATTTTGTCTTTTATGATTATTTTAATCCCAAAATCACTTGCCAAACACCACCCATTGGATCGTGGTAATGGTTATCTTTGATTGCATTGGGAAGCTTTAATGAGCCATTAGATAATAACCCTACACTTTAGTTCTACAAGTTTAACGGGAAAAATTACGAGAAGTGGGACAATTATTTATTAAAGGATGACAATCTTCTTAGGATATAATTTTTGTTGTATTTTTTTTACACTGAAAGAGTTGGACCTTATAAATTTGTAATTATTTTTTATCATATACATATGGCATTATTCTTAGAGAAATTATCACTAAGTAAGAAGTGGGGTAATTATTTACTGAAGGGTAAAAATCATTAAGGACGAATTAATTCGATTCATGATTACCTCAAAATTGAACTAAATTTGTCGATAAACACCTCATCAGAAAGTACTTCACAAATTGGCTAAAGCCAATATGGCTATGATCTGATTGAAAAAAGTATTTATATGTTATTATTTATTATCTTTTTATTTTGTAAATACTTTTTTTTTTTTTTTGTAAATGTCTAATATTTAATATTGAATGAAACTTTATTTTTGAATTTAATGATAATATTCAGCTTTTATACGTATAAATATGAAACATTGGTAACATTAATGTAATAAAACAAATTTTTTAGTCAATTTTTTTTGTTGTATATATAATTCGGCCCGTTAATGAGACTTTTAAGTTTGCCATTGGGGACGAGTAATAGCTATAGGTGTTGTAAAAATGGTATAATTAAATAAAATAAATAGATTTATAATTGACAATTGAAATTTAATAAAAATAAATAAATAAATAAATAAATAAAATGCTGAAAATTACAAGTTGAACATAATAAAATAAAACGGCAAAAGAAAGCAAATCGAAATCTGCACTAGACAATTTCTTTAAAACAGATTCGTCACCTCACCGATTGGGTGCTACAGGTTTTTCAACGTCTGTCTCCCAGGATATGACAGTTAAACCAGCTACAACAAAACACTTACTGCATAACTTCGGCGAACAGAACTAAAGCAACACTCTCTCACTAGAAGAATATCAAAACTACAGGAAAATTCTAGAACACAGAGAGAGCAATCTAAGTTCCTGAAGAAGAGGGGCCTCCTTTTATACATACGGAAGGAGAGAGAAAGAGGCTCTTGTCATCAAGGCCCATCACAAATGCAAAATTAAACTCAACAAAACTGATGGATTTAATCCATTATGAATGTAGAGGAATTACCAGCTTTTATACACATGTGTATTGTTTATATTTCTGCAGCCACATATCTGGTTTGGCCCAAAAAAATTAAGATGGGTGGGCCAAGAATCCGGCCCAACCTCCACACTTAATCCAATCCAGCAAACCCAAGCCCAAACTTAAGCCGAAGATCTAAGATCCACGACCTACGGACCATGAACCTGGACCCAGCCGGGGTGGACGGGCGCGGCGCGCTCACGTATGGCAATTTTTGCATAAGCAACTTGGTCTATAGTCTTGGCCCAAGTCCATCCTTGAAGTATCCATAACTCATTTTCTTTAGAAAATTTGGATACCTTAGGTAAAATATAGGATTTAAATACCCATCAATGCTCTCATCTATAATCAATATGGGATACAGGGTTTTTACATATTTCCCAACACCTCTTTCATGAAACCAATTTAATGAGTCAATTTCTCATTCAAACCTTAATGGTTTTTGTCATTCTTTTTGTGGTGTAAAGATCTCACTACAAAGAATCTAAAACTAGTTTACTCCACCTCAATTGAGGATTGACATCCACTTTAATATTGCATTAAAGTAACTAAAAAATCATTATTTTCCCAACAAATAGTTGAGATTCAGTGACACTAAAACGACACCGTTTTGTTGAGAAAAACTAAAAATAAAAAAAGTCTTTTCTTTTCAATATGTTACATCATTTTTAACTTTCCAGATATCAATTCAAATTTGAAAATCAAGGGATCATTTAGAATGATCTAAATAAGTACACTTTTTTAATTTTTGTAAAAAGATGTGCAGAAAAGTAAAGAGTGATGTGACTCAAAAAAATAAAAATATATTAAAAAAAAGTGTACTAATATAGGGGATACCAAACAACCCCCTAATTTCTAGGTTAGATTTTTTTCCCATTGTGTGCTATTTCGCAGCAACCACAACAGAGCAAACCCTGTTTGGTTACTAAGAAAATGAGCATTTTTTTAAAAAAAAAAAATTAGACAAAAAAAATTACATTAGATTTGTGATTTAGATTTGTGTTATAGTTGTGAGTTATATATAATAAAATATTTTTATGCCGCATGATTATTAATGTGTCTAACTTTGAATATTAGCCTAGGTTTGGCATGGGCTAAAATGGGGCTACCAAGTTAAAATAGTTACAAAAAGATAAAACATGTTAAAAAGTTAATAAGACAAAATGTCATATCTAAATCTTAATCATTTCTTTTTTTTCTTTCACAAAAGTCAAAAATACTCATTCCAAACGAGACTTTTTAATCCAGGCTAAAATAGCAAAAAAATCAACCCACTTCCCAAACCAAGCCTAAGGCCTTGTTTGGCAATTTTCAGTTTTAGCCAAAAAATTAAAAAGTTATTATAACTTGTCACACTACTCTCTCTACTTATTTGTATATTTTTTCGTAAAAAGTCAAAAAATCACTAAGATAATGGCCTTGTTTGATTTGATTTTGGGAGAAATTTTTTGGAAATATACTCTAAACATTTTTTTAAGAGTAATTAAACTAAACAATTTTTTTCAAAAAAATCTCAGAAATATGTTTGGTTATCCAATTTTCATGATTACTTTTGAAACATGTTTGCAAAAAAGGCAAACCAAATAACTTTTTGTACTTTTTATCTCAAAAACTACTCTACAAAAAAAATCAAAGTTAATTTAGAGAGAATATTTAGAAAAAGGCAAACCAAACAAATTTTTGTACTTTTTTATCTCAAAAACTACTCTACAAATATAAACCTAGTTTTTTGGTTAAATATTTCTATAATATCTTAATAAATTAGAATTTTTTTTTTAATATTGTAAAATAATGTACGGGTTTTTATTAATTTTTTTTTTTTGTAAAAGCTCATAGGAAAAGTGAGTGAAATTTACTATTTGAATATATAAGAACAATCTTGAGATTTTTGACTCATAATACATGATATCAGTATAATATTAGTATATTCTGTTAAATAAATTAATAGAGGATTAATGGTGAGAAATTCTTAATAATAGTTTTAAAAGTAATAGAAGTTTTTATAATTATTGAAACTATAAGAGAGATTTCTGTCATTGTCAGAAATCTTAGGGTCAGAAATCTTAGGGAGGTAAGTATAATTTACCCTTTATATATATTTATATTGAGTTTAATAATCAAAATATTGTTTTTTGTCGATCTTACTTAATAAAAATAGCCGAATAATTTAAATTGAAAACAAATAAAAAAAATTAGAATTTAAATTGAGAAAAATTAAAATTTCATGATTTATTTTATTAAAATGATTAAACTCTGTTTCTTTTTTTTGTAATTGTCCCAAAATTTTTAAAAATTTTGAAAATAAAAAAAAAATCTACGATTTTTGTCTTTTCTAATTTTTTTGATTGTAAAATTTAAAAATTTTAAACTTTTTAAAAAAAAATTTACCAAATAAGGCAGCAAAAAAAAAAAAAAAAACAAACTTGAAACACCTACCATAATCTTCATAGCAACTCGTGACCAAGGCTGAAGGTCCGAAACCTAGATCCTCGTATTCTTGATCGTAGTTAATTTATTTGTTATAATCTTTGTCCACTTTTTGTAGATCAAATTACACACGCGTAGTGATATTAATTGTGGTTGAAGGCTTGATTTGTGGATTCTTCACCAATAAAGCTGGATTTGTGGTTCCTCCAGGTAAACCCCTCTTCTTTTTGGGTGCTCCTAAACCCCTTTCTCTTACACCTCTTTTGGATTGAAATAATAGTGATTTGAAAAGAAAAGAAAAGAAAAGAAAAGAAAATTAATTCCTTTTATTCTTAATTCTTACTTGTTTGGATTACTAAACAGGAGAGCAATGAGCAGAAATTGAGAGAAATTGATTTCTCTCATAACTTAGTTTTGTATATTAACAAAATTACCCATCTACCTACAAAAGAAATAAAAACATAAAAATGTTGTTATTTTGGTAATATAACTTGTTTCCAATCTATCCATTAAAGCAAAATCACTATCTTTTCTTTGAAGAGAAAGTTTGAAAATAAAAAAAAAAACTTCCAATTTCATCTTGTGTATATTAAATAACTTTTTTAATTCAACATCAAACAATTTTTTAATTTGAAAGTTTAGCATTCAGTTTCTCGTTTTGTCACTTATCACCTTAAACTCATCCCTAAATAAAATATTCCTTTGATTTCTCCAATATATTTTTTTTTAATTTCAATTTTTAAATAGCATCATCGTGTGTAATATTTAGATTTATACCATAAGTTACCTTTAATATCTATCCCATTTAAATTTTAAAAATTCATTTCCAATCCAAAAGTACACCTTTCATGTATCCCATTTGTACATGTGTAAATTTATCTTTTATATTATATATTATAAATAAATTACAAAACGCAGTATGGTCATTGAACTCTAAACTTCTACTCTATTTTTTTTTTTTTCCAGTAACTAATTGGCGTTCTCCATTTTATTTAACAACATAACTTCAATTTTTTTGATAATTTAAATATATTTCTTAAGCACTAAATGTGTTAAAACTCTTTCCTAAATGAAATATTCATTTGATTTCTTAAAAAATTATATTTTTTTGGGGTAATTTAAAATTATATTTTTGTGTTTTTAATTTTCCATTTTTATATAGTAGTAGTGCGTGCAGTTTTAGATGTATACCATCAATTACTTTAATATTTATCCATTTAAAATATATTTCTAATCCAAAACTCCTTTATCATATCCATTTTGTACATGTGTAGTTTTTTTACTATATTTCTAATCTAAATATTCATAATTCTCATATCTCATTTGTACATGTAAATTGACTAATAAATTGATAAAGTTGTAATTCTTACAATTATTTTCACTAAATTCTTGAACATTTCTAAGAATTTTTTTTTTTAATTACTCCTCAAAGTGTACCATTTGAATTCATTTAGTGGCCATTTGGGAACCCTAGTAAAAAGCTGTGTTTCGTTGCTTCACAAAAGCGCCATGCCACAGCAGCTACAAAAGTAACAAAAACCATTTGAGAAGTGTGCAAAACGCAGGGTGTGAAATTACGTAACTACCCTCCATGTTTATATCTTGAGCGTTAGGGCAAAATGTAAATTTCTTAAGTTGGATGGAGTATTTTTGTCATTTTCTTGTGATTTGACATTATAAACAAATATTAACTCAAAAAGCAAAAAAGCAACTTTTTATCAACTTTCCAAATTACTTTTCAAAAAAGCCAAAAAGCTTGGTTAAAAATCAAAAGCCAACTTTTAACCATCTTCCCAAAACACTCCTAACATATTTGAGTAACACAACATATTTCCTAGTCTACCTTTTTACTTAAAATATTATATTTATTAATTGAAACTAATATACGGGAACTCAAGTGATAAAAATAGCGAAACATGCTTGCAATGTTTAGGAGATATTTATTTTGTAAATTCAAATTTAGTATGACTTCTTAAAATAATAAGAAAATGTACTTAATTGCAAGTCAATATGAGACTTTGTTATTAGTGTTCATAATTTTTTAGAATTTAGTAATATAATATTGAATTTTAAGTCCATCATTTGCAAAATATTTTTTTTATTACAATACGAAAGTGTTATTCTCTTATAATTTAAAAAAAAAAGAGCGATGCCTATTTTGATGAAATGACACGATGATTATCGATCACACTGTAAAGGGGGTAAAAATAGGACATATTTTAATTTTATTAAATGGTGTGATCTGCGACTTGTTAACATAAATACAGTATTTGGAAATTTATTTAGAAAGAGTAATGTTATACCAACTATCAAATCTTACCGGGTAAATTATACTTTGCACCTTTGCACTTTACACCAAATCTCACTTTGGCCCCTACGTATGAAATCATAACAGTCAACCCCTTGCACTTTTGGTCAAATCCTACTTTGGTTCCTATACATGAAATTATGACAGTTAACCCTGTACTTTTGGTAAAATCTTATTTTGGTCCCTACACAAGTGTCAATGTCCCCTTTCTGTTACTCAATTGCTTAGATCTTTAATAGAATCTTGTCATGTGACGAAAATGTGATTACGACATGAAGGTAAGAAAAGAAAATCATCTACATTTTCACCAATACACACTTTATCCCAAAATTTACATCAAAATATGACTGACTGTATTAGACTAAAACGAAACGCAGATTGTGAACAATTAAGAAGATGAATTAGAGTTTTGCATAAATTAGAATCATGAAATTTTGTTTTTCACGGTAACACAGTCTTCTGTTTATTCATCTTTCTTTTTCTTTGATTTCTTTGTCTTTTTTTAATTTCAAAAGCTCTACCTTCTTACCTTTTCATCCCAATTTTTACCATACGAACATATATATATATATAGCTTAACTCTCATGTGTTTGTCAAATAAGACAAAGTGTATTGATACATAGATGATTTTCCTCTCTTACTCTCATTTCATAGTCATATTTTTGTCACATGACTGGGTTTTATTAAAGATTTAAAGATAAAGTAACAGAAGAGAGACATTGATATTTGTGTAGGGACCAAAGTAAGATTTGAGTAACAGTGCATGGGGTTGACTATCACAATTTCATGTGGAGGAATCAAAGTGAGATTTGACCAGAAGTGTAAGGGGTTGACTATCATGATTTCTTGTGTAGGGGTCAAAATGAGATTTGGTGCAAAGTGCAGGGGTGCAAAGTGTAATTTACCCAATCTTACTTATTGATGTGACACTTCTTATATCATCAAAATGGGTCATATTTAAGAAATGAGTCAAATTTAAGTTTTTAGACTTTGATTATTGCATGACACATCGATTGGTAAGAAAAGTTTATTAAATTTGTAAGTTTGTATAACATTTTCTTTTCTCATTATGTCATTTCTTTGCTCCAATTGGTCTCAATACACCTCACCTTGAAATAATGACTCTCTTGTTATGTCACTTCTTTGCTGCAATTGTTCTCTCACCTCACCTTGAAATAATGAAAAGTTACTGATTTTGTAGAAAAATGCTATACAAATCAATAATTTTACAAATTTTTCTGACTAACTGATGTGTCATGCAATAATCATAGATAGGAAACTAAAACAGGACCCGTTTCAATGATATCATAGGTACCACATCAGTAAATAAGAAAAGTTTGTAAGATTTCATAGTTTGTACAACATTACTCATTGAGAAAGATGAATTTAATAAAGGCAATTACTAAATCAAGGCTCATTATAATGTCACCTTTCTTAAGAAGTAATTCACACCAATCAACTCATTAGATTGGATTCAAAATAGTTTCTAATTAATTCCCACCAAGACGCAGAAAAGTCTAACATTGCCATTTCAATAACAAAGAAGTGGCCCAACTATAAAATTAACAAAATATTTTCTGCTGCGAATTGAATGCCTATTAAAAAGTCTGTAATTTTTAATAGAATGCCTATTCTGATGTGTCATGTAATAATCAATGTTTGAAAACTGAAACAGAATCTACTTTGATGATGTGATATGTGCAACATCAGTTTGTAAGATTTGGTAGTCTGTATTGCATTTTTTTTTTTTTTTGCTCATTGAATTTTTGTGGACTGCACCACTCCTTGGAATAAGATGTGGGCCTTCTTGGCAACATTTACACGAGAGAGAGAGAGAGAGAGAGAGTTTCAATTGTTCTCTTTCTCCAATGCTTTATGGCCATTTGTGGGTTAAACGGGTTAACATAATTTAACATTTTAAAATTTCAGTTTTGGATTAGATAAATATAACTAAATAATTCTAGTAGTGTTGTATATTTGGTCACAATATCAGATTGGCAGGAAAATTAGCAAAACAGTAATTACTTTTGCTGTATGTTACATAGTGAATTTCATTTTTTGTGTTTTGAGTAATCTTATTTTGTCTGAAAACGCTGAGAAGGATTGTGATAATGTTCTTTAGTAGACTACAAGAAGTTCCTATAAGCCCTTTTTGTCAAATCTTAAGTCAAATCACCCGTCTTCAAGATGCCTTTCCATAAGGAATTAACTGTATGAAAAGAAAATGAGATTTTTATCATAATTAGTTCAAGAAAATTTGGTCCTGTTAGTGTTCGCTATTATTTTTGCACTGTTTATAGCACATTGATTTGCTATTCTTCTATTAGCGGAACTCAAATATGTCTTTGATAAAAGAATTGAGGTGATATTTGACATTAGCGTGAATTAAAGATGGTAACTTGTATGGTTTGGCTCTTAATCCATCCTTGCTTTTATTTTATCTAAATGATTCTTGCTTATTTCAATTTTTCTATTACAGGTTCTAAGTTTCTTGATGGCTGAAACAATTGCTGCACTAGGAGCAGCAGCAGGAGTAATGCAGGCTGTGTCCCAAGCTAAGCCAATATTTTGGGATCCACTCATGACCAAAGTCAACCATTCAGAAAATGTAGAGGAGATTCATTATTATTTAAATGATGCAGTCAACATGTAAAGATGGATTTCAAGAATGAAGTCGAGAGAAATAAGATGAAGAAGCCATCTGAAGCTTACTTGGAATGGAACCGCAGGGTGATGAAGATTGAAGAAGAAGTGGAAGAATTAGTAGCCAATTATAAAAAACCCAGCAAACGTTTTAGTTTTCCCTCTCGTTCAGGTTTCAAAGAAAAGATGAAAAAGATGTACAAAAGAGTAATCAATCTTCGAGATGAGGGCGAACAAATTAGAGAGAAAATTTTGGTTAATCGACCACCAGAAACTGTTGTGAATATGAGGGCACCAGATATCAAAAAATTTGAAACACTTCAAAAGTCACTAGAACAGATACTGGATCTGCTGAAAGGCAACAAGGTTAAAGGGATCAGAATCCACGGGCCATTGGGGATTGGGAAAACAACCATAATGCTCAACTTGAATAACCACGAACAAGTTGCCAAAATGTTTGACATAGTCATCTGGCTCAAAGTATCAAAGGAGGGGAGCAAGGAAAATTTGAGCAGGAAATGTCTACAACAGGAAATTGTGCAAAGACTACAACTCAAGATGCGAGACACTAGTAATGCTGATGAAGTTGCCCAAAGAATATTAACGGAGTTGAAGGACAAGAACTACTTGTTACTTTTGGATGATGTCAAGGATGATATCAATTTATATGAAATAGGGATTCCTTATAGCAACAATCGCAGCAAAATAGTATTGACGACTAGGCTGCATCATGTTTGTTCCTCAATGGTGAAAAAGGAAATTAAGGTGACGTATTTATCTACAGATGAAGCATGGAAGATGTTTCAAGATGTTTTAGGAAGCCCAAAACTTGTTGAAAATCCGGAAATTGGGCCACTTGCATGGCGAGTGTGCAGAGAGTGTGGTGGACTTCCACTCTTGATTGAAAAAGTAGCAAATACTTTCAAATTGAAAAATGACATGTACCTTTGGAGTGAGGGATTGAATAGTTGGAGGATGTGGCCTGAAAAAGAATGCCAAGGCATTCGAGAAATGTATAAACTGGTGAAATTTTGTTATAATGATTTGGATGAGGACCGACAAAAGAAATGCTTTCTTTATGGTGCATTATATCCAGAAGACATTGACATAAACACAAATTCTTTGTTGGAGTGTTGGGCAGCTGAAGATCTCCTTGGCAATGATCATGGCAAAACAAAGACAAGTGTCATGATTGCGCACTGCATATTGAATCGCCTTATGAATGTGTCATTACTTGAGGAAGGTAAGAGTGAGAATCACATTACAATGCACAAATTCATACGACAAGTGGCCTTGTATATAGCAGAGGATGATCCTGAATGTAAATATCTTGTACAAACAAATAGATCATTAAGAGAGGCCCCAGATGTGAAATCTTGGAGTGACAAATATAGGATCTCCTTGGGTGACAATGAGTTGGTTTGGTTACCAGATTCCCCTTGTTGTACCATGCTTTCCACACTCTTCCTGCAAAAAAATTTGGATCTGACCGAAATTCCTGAGTTATTCTTCAAACACATGAAAAATCTTCGAGTTTTGGATTTATCTCATACCGGAATAATTTTGTTACCATCATCAATATCAATGTTGATTAGTCTCAAAAATCTATATCTAAATGATTGCAAAGATTTAATGGAGCTTCCTTCTGACATTGGTGAACTTGCTCAACTTGAAGCACTTGATATTCGGGGGAGTGGAGTCAATAATATACCACCTCATATTGAAAAATTGATCCATCTAAGACGTTTGCTAGTATCCTTCACCAAGTTGAGAAATGGAAATGCCACTCAAGAGGTAGCTTTTGGTTACAATATGATATCAAAACTATCTAGATTGGAAGAATTGGTCATTGATATGAAATCACCTGAGCAGTGGTTCAATGAGGTGGTAGAAAATATCATAAAAGAAGTGGCTTCATTGAAAGAATTGAAGATTTTGAAGTTTTGCATTTCCAACAAGGTTGTAGATTTCATAAAGCTAGTGAATATGAATCTCCGTATATGCCTTTCTGAAGCAACAAGTCTTCAAAGTTTTATGGAAAGAAGTTCAGGGAGAAATATCCGAAGTATCAGGTTCTTTCAAATTTTCATTGGTTGCCAAAACTCAGAACATCCTGAAATTCCTGACTTCGTCAAGTATGAAAGGTATATCAAATATTGCAATGGTGCAGGAAGCAATTTTCCAACTCTTGATGTTCTTGCTCGAGCTAATGCATTTGAATTGGTCAACCACAAGGATATCAAGCATCTATCAGACTTTGGAATTGCAAGCATGAAAAAGGTCTTAGGTTGTCTGGTTGAAAGTTGTGATGCAGTTGAAACAATAGTGGGTACAGTGGACAATGCAGAGCCAGTACTACCAAACTTAGAGGACTTGTACATAAAGAATTTACCAAGGTTGGAAAGCATTTGTAAGGGCCCAATGCAACCTGGAAGCCTAACCAAATTAACAACTCTACATCTGACAAGCTGTCAAATGATGGTAAAGATTTTTCCTCTAGGCGTGATTCAACAACTTCATGAACTCCAGTATTTGAGAATTGAAAAGTGCCAAGAAATTGAAGAAATAATTGCAGAATCTGACACGGTTGGAAATCTGGATTTACTGCCAAAGCTAAAGGAACTGATTCTCCTTGAAATGCAAAAATTACGAAGTGTTTGTGCATTTGAGTCACTGGAGTGGAGATCCTTGGAGAAGATTGGGATTTTGAACTGTTCTGTTTTGTTTAAATTACCTTTCAACAAAAAGAATGCAGCAAAGCTGCAAACTATTGAAGTAGAGCAACAATGGTGGGAAGCATTGCAGTGGCAGAATGATGAGGTCAAAGAACGGCTTCAAAAATTATTGACCTTCAGGTAATGTTTCGATCTTTAAAATGTTTCAACTTCATATTTTGTACAGTTCCTTGCCTAACTTTAATTTCTCCAAAGTCCATAGATCTCGCAATGAGGCTACTCTCTGAAGATGGTCGTATGAGCTTTCGAAATCCAGCAGCACTGGATCCTTTTCGCCTTCGCTCTTTTGCGAAAAATACTTGAGAGATCTCTGTGTCATGAAGTTTCCAAGTTAGTTTGGATGAGATAGTGTTGTTGAGTGCTTCTTCGTGTGTTTGTTCCTTCGTGATTGTGTTCTTCTGTGTTCCTTCTATGCTGGAACAACTTTACATCAGGTATTCACATATGAAAATAGCTGAGCTACTATTTTCTGTTTTGGTTGATGTTCTACAAAACAAGACTGTTATGAACTGACCACGTATTATTTGATCTTTTATCTAGCACACTTCTTTGTGTTCTCTAGTCGTAATCTTAGCCGCTAATTGGTATTCTAGATTATTCTATAGTATCTGTGTGACTCTAGATATGCATTAAAGTAGGACGAGCAAGGATCCTCTTCTTGGCTCCCTACTTGGTGGGCCATTGGGCCCACTTTTAGGCTCAATTTCGATGATCCGAACCATTCACATTTTATGATTTGTCAATTATATCATATTTGTAAAAAATCAAGTTGATCAAACTAAAAATCGTTTATTAAAAAAAAATTAATAAACAGTTTTATTTTTTAATAAAACTTTTAGTTTGATGATCCGAACACGTGGTTTCTGATATCTGATCGATTTGATTTTTTTCAGGTATGATATACTTGACAAATCCTAAAATATGAACGGTTCAAATTATCAAAATTAGGCTCAAAAGTGGGCCCAATGGCCTACCAAGTAGGGAGCCAAGGAGAGGATCCTTGCTCGAAGTCCTGCAAGCAACATAAAGTGATAAAGCCATGGGATTTTCCTATGGAAAAAAATTCCGTAAGATTTTTTTTTATTTCTAATCAAGAGTACCGTGTAATTTAATTGGTCAGATTATATTTTTGAATATGAATTAGTTCAATTTTGAGGTTTTAAGCCTTTCCCCCTCCTACATGACGTATAACTCAACAATGCTAGTCATTTTGTTTGGCTAACTTTTCCAGGTCTCTTTTGTTTTGTTTGGATTTTAGATTTTGAATTTTTGCCAATAAAATTAATATATAGGAGAAAGAAAATGAAGTGAAAATAACTTCATTTTTTTTCCTCTGTATTTTAGTTGGGTTAGGAATACAAGAAGAACTGAATAAATATTGGTTTAAAAACTTTTTTTTTTTTTTGGTCTAGTTATTCATAAAAAATAACAAAATTTAATATGTTGAAGCAATTGATTTTGCTAAATAAATCCAATATCTAAATATAGACTTAATTTTGTTGTCTTTTTTTTTTTTTTTTTTTAATATCATAGTTTTCTGTTTTGTGGAGAGAAGATTAGAGTTTCAACAATATTTTTGTTCTTATCCGCATTTTTTAGTAAGGTGTTTTTTTTAACAGAGTGTATGTTACAACATTGTTAGACAGGTTGAGGTGAAAAATTCTGAACTTGTATTTCTTATTGTTCATAGTTGATTTTTATTTTTATTTTTTATCTCTCCTTCATGGACATAGACACATCCGTGTTTGTCTTTTATTTATTTATTATTTATTATTGTTTTGTAGCTTGGAAATTTGGAACCATACATCCTTGCATAACAATAATCTATTTGATATGCCAACTTCAACTTTATTAGAACGACAATGTGCGAGAAATCTAATCATACATAAATGATTGAATCTTCCGACGTTGCAGAATGAAGAACTTCAACTTTATCAGTTGTTCAAATTTAATTTTCCCCGAGCATTGCTCCTAATGTAGGCTATAAAAGATTTCCCTTGATCTGTAAATAATTGCCCACTTTACGATTATATTGTAGCATAGACTCATCTGGGTATTTAAATGATTTCTAACTTTTTGGACATGTCTTTGTTTTGTTTAGGTTACCAACAATTTAGGCAGCTATTATATTTCCAAATGAATAAATAGAATGAAATCACATGTAACAGGAGAGTTTTTAAACTCCTATATTAGTGGATGGAGATTAAAAAATTTCCTTGCAATTGTTAACAAAAAAAAAAAGAAAAGGGAGTCGCAAAATCCATATATGAATTTGGCCTTCAAGGACGACTAAAACCCTAGGTATAAACATGTATTACTTGCCACAACAAATTAAACAAAATTATTGATAGATTTCAAATAACAAGAAAAACAAGAACATCAGATACAACACTTACAATAATTACTGTTATTATCACATACACAAGGAGATAAAAAGTAGATAAAGCATCGCATCCCAATATTGTATTTAAAAACATTAAGGCAAGCAGCAATAATACAAAGAAACTAGCCTACAAGCTATGGAGTTTTAATCTGATCAGTTTTCTCTGAAGATTTATTAGTAATTACATCTACAAGTCCTAAGCTTGAGCTCCTAAACACCTTTGGATCGATTGTCCCAATCTCCTGCCACAGGGGCCTTCATGAGGCTTTCATAACCTGTCACTCACCAGACAAATGGAAAAAATGACAAATAATGTCAAAATAACAAAATAGGTTAGTGTCATGTTTCAGATTTGTAGTGAACTTAGTTTATTCAAACTGCTTGTAAAAGTTTAGTGAAAAAAAACAAACAAAAACAAACATGGCTGAGTGAATAAAATTGTTTTTCATGGGTAGGGTTCAATTAGGCGGTCATGCACAGGTTGTTTATTTAACTAAAGCTTGTGTTGTGGTTGCAATCTAATGGCACGTCTAAACAGAGAACAAAGACTACTATTCGTTAATTAGGTCTTTGAGGGAATGGTAAATAATCTCTCTATATCTCATAAATGATAAATGATATGAGAAATTACCTGACTGTTGAAGACCATTTGCTCCAGGTTAGTGCGAATATACATCTTTAGCTAATGGGCCCATCGAATCGTCATCAATTTCATATTCCTTATAAGCTGGACAAGTTATGTTCCTCCACTTTAATGCATCCCACCACTCTCTTTCTCCTTTGATCTTCAAATTATCACCAGACACTTCCATGGCATGCAGACTTATGAGCTTTGGACAATTATAAACAATCAGACTTTCTAATACTGGACCAATACTTAGGCCGCCAGAAATAGTAACCAATTCAGGTAAGTCAAGAAGTGACATCTTCTTCAAGTTTTGGAGAACATGACCAGAGGATTTGAAGTCCGACAATTCCTGACTTACTAGGCTCCTGACTTTGAAGCAATCTTCAACTATAAGTTCTTCCAACTTGATGAGATTACCAAGCAAATTTGGGGTGAAAATAGTAATCAAATTGGGACATGTGTGCAATGCCAAGTACCTCAGATTGGATAGACAACCCTTATCAATTTGGCCTTTCCAAATACTTCGTAAATTCTTCATGTAATGAATACCCAAGTATTGTAGCCGTCTAAACACAAGTTTGTTATCAACCCCCCACCGATATTCACTATCTCCAATAATGGTTTGAAATTCATTGCATTCCACTAGCAAGCAAAATTTGAGTTGAACCATATTTTCATTCCCGAATTCAGACAACGTCTTAGCAGTATAATGGCGATCAAGGAAAAAAACAGAGGCGTGCTGGAGTGCCTCGGTAATCCCACTAGGCTTGCCCTCACCATTTATATATTTGAGGCATTTCTTTGATTTTTCCCATTTCTTGACTAATTCCCCAACTTCATGTGGTAGACGGAATATGATTCGCCATGGATGATGGCCAACAGTGAATCCAAATTGAGACAAATCTGGATACATAACTTGTTTGTTATTCCATCTAAGTTGCTGCAGTGATTCAACTGATGGCAGATACAACCTGAATATTTTCAACTTTTGTAAGCTACTCAATTCATTCAGTATTTCCTTCACATTAGCATCCGACACATCAACATCCCACTGGTCGGCATTTGGATTCACATCAATGCTTAATTCATTCAATTCAGAGAGTTTTGACAACACCTTTGTTGGGATTATTGAATCCATCTGCTTAAATTCTTTGTAGCGGTTTGCACATCCACAAAAAGAGACCCGAAGCACTTCAATCTGATTAATTGTCCAATTTCTTTGGGTAAATACATTAATTCAGTTCCTTCAAGATCAAATTCCTCAAGCTTCCCAAGTTCTCCAATTTGAGGAGGCAGCTCCATGAGAAGTTCACAACCTTTCAAACGGAATGTGTGAAGTAAAACCAACATGGAAATAGAAGGTGGCAAAGACTTTATGCTAGTGTAGGACAAATCTAGCGAATGTAGGAGAGGCATGTCTTCAAAAAATAATCGAGGAATTTCCATCAAGTCATAATTTTCATAGTTCTTATGTAACCACAACTTTGTGAGGATTGGGCACTTGGGGTTCTCTGGAAGCTTGGATAATTTATTATCCATCAAGTAAATCTCTTTATCATTATTCCACTCTTCAATCTTTGGTGTCTCAACCAATCCTAGTCCCCCTTGCTTTAGATAAAGGCTTGGTAGATAGGGTATAAAATACTTTTGCAGTACATTTTTAGTTTCCTTTCGCATCCGGACATCATTTACCCCAACATTCTCTAGCAAGAAGAAATCAATAAGATCTTCAAAAATAGCTACTCCTTCTTCACGTTTTCCTACTAAACTATTTGAGATCCAACTTGATACTGGTGAATCTTGAAATCCCAAGTTCTGTGCACAAAATTTAATGCAATGTTTTGTTATGATGCCCTTCTGATCCCAAACGAGTTTTAACGCATGAACCATGACTTCAGAGGACTGTGATGTTAATTGGTGGAGTACAAGTTCCCACACACCAATATTAGTCACACCTTTCAAGGCCCTTGCAAGAAGAACGATTGCAAGTAGGTGACCGTGGCATTCTTTCACTAACGGGATGGCCATTTGTTGGATAGCAGAAGAAGAAAGAACAAGTGATGAGCCCACATTCCGACAGAATAGATTCCAAGGTAACAGATGATCATCCATTGTGATCTCTAGATCCACATTCATTATCTCATAAACTTCTTGAGATTGAGTTGTGAGAACTACGAATGCATGATCAGGGATTTTTATGTTGTATAGACTGTCTACTGGCCCATCCGAACAATCCAAAAGCAGCAAGAAGTCGTCATGTGGGAATTGAAATAGATATTCCTCCAAAATCGAAATGCCATAAATTGGAGGAAGTTTGTTACTCTGTTTAGCAATGTTCTGCAAAACCTCTTTGGTGCTATGATATCTTGAGACAGAGATACAGAGGATGACACTGCACTTGGATTGCATCATTGGTATATCTTTCAGTGCTTTTGCTACTTCCTCCCCTGCTCTCCCTGAAATCCCAATCTTTCGAAGTATTCCATCCTGAAAGCATTTGGAGACCTGGCGAATAGCAGAATCGATAGCCAATTCCAACATTTCATCCGGCGCTTCAAATTTAGCACGCGTTTGACACGTTAACCCAACCTCAATTTTGTGTGTCAAACTCTTATCTGGCCTTGCAGTGATAACATCAGCTTCTTGAGGTAAATAAGCCACCGCATGAAAATCATATCTATCGAACATTCTTTCGACCTCACGAATAAGAAAAATCATCTTCTCTTCTAATTCATGTTCATGTTCCTCACATATGTCATCTAGTAGCAAAGCTTTTATTTCTCTTCGTAATTGATTCATATCGGAAAATCGCCTCCTGAGAAATACAGGGTTAAAAAAATCTTCATCTGGTTCTGGTTTCATAGGGTATGACAAGATAAGGTGTAGGAAGTCCTTCTTCCTTGTCAAAATCTGAGCTTTTTCTATAATCACTTTCCTATCTCCAGTAAAATGAGTTAAGGTTGCTTTTTCAGTTTCCATGGATAATTCTTCTTTCCTATCTCCAATAAAATGAGTTAAATTTGCCTTTTCAGTTTCCATGGATAATTCTTCTTCTGCTGTATGTGGTCTTGCCATCCGCCTATTTAGGAATATGATTGTAAGGATTATCACATTACCGGCCGCAAAAACAAAGCTGGGTGTCAATAGTTTTTGTCCTTCCATCAAAAATTGTACCGGAGCAGCAGCCCATCCCGCTATTATGAGCATGAAAAAAAGCAATCGAAATTTGCCCACAGTAACAACCATTTTATTTGTAAGATAAATTGATAGAGAGAGAGAGCATAAATTGTGTATATATTGATCTATTGAATGTTGTATATTACAAATGGTGAGGGGCTCCTTATATAGGAGAGGGACTGAGAGTGGCCGAAGCACAATTATTACATACAGCCGAAAGGCTAACAGCACTAGCACTAAAGTAAGCATAAAGTAAGCATTAATATACATTAGCATAAAATATATTAACAGCCCCCCTCAAACTCAAGGAGGATAAACATAAACCAACTTGAGTTTGGAGAGAGTAACAAACAGGAAAATAAACTGATAAATAAAATAAAAATAGGATAGGAGACACTGTATGGTTGTGTCAAATCGTTGTTGAAGACACGGTATGGTCGCGCATGTATAAGGATGCGCGAGCAGAGATAAGTGTGCTAAAGGCGGAAAATAAGGAGTTGAAGCGGAAGGCCACCGTGATGTTCCGATTTGGAGGTCCGCCATATGCTGTAGTGGAGGAGCAGGGAGGAGGCAACTTGCTTGGTGGTCTAGGAAGCACGGAGGCACCACCGTCAAGGGCCGCCCAGGACGGAGGCAAAAAAAAGAGACCGGCAGCAGAATAGAGAAGAAAAATCCCACTGTGGGTGTGGTTGTTTTGTTTGTTTTGTGGTTTGTTTTTTTTTTTTTTTTTTTGTGTAAAATTGTGCTCGGGGTGATCCCTGAGATGAATAAAATATTGGTTGTTGTGCAAATTTGAAATGTTTGAGGTTTTTTTTTTGTTTTTTTTTGGTGGGAAGAATAATAAGAATAATAAAAAAATAATAATAAGAAAAAGGTATTAATGGGAAAGCATGCGCTGGTGGGTGGAATAAAAAAAAATGGGTGGAATAAGGAATCATAAAGTGCATGTGGGCGGTGGGACAAAAGTGGATGTAAATGGTAAAAGAAAAAGAAAGGAAAGAAGCAAAAGGCAGCAAAAGTGGCTGAGATGGAGGAAGCTCCTCATTCTATGCCATGAGAGAGAGAGGGAGATCGAGTGATTAAAAATGGTGGTGATTAAAAATAAATAAAGAAGTGGAGAAGTGTGCAAAAGTGGACACGCCCCAGTGGATTCACGGTATTCATGGTCTACCTAGCCACCTCCTCACTTGTGGCTCATCAGACACACCCCTTTGTGAGAGATGTAGAAGACACTGTGGAGGCGGACGGTGGAGGCGGAGATGAGGCAGGCGACGACGCGTTGGCCGGTGGTGGAGGCGAGAGAGATGTCGATGGAGCTGGAGTCGACGGCGGAGGCGGAGAAGCGACTGACGCTACGGGTGGTGGAGGCGAAGATGCCGGCGGCGAAGATGAGGCTAGGAGAAGATGCCGGCGGCGGAGATGAGGCTACTGGTGGTGGTGGAGAAGTGGATGGCGGCGGCGAGGTAGTGGTCGACGCTGCGGGCGGCGGCGATGTGGTGTTTGTCGCCGGTGAGGACACCGGAGCCGGAGATGAGGACATTCTCTCTCTATATATATATAGAAGTGTGTGTATTTACAGAGAGAGAGAGAGTTTTTTTTTGATGTGTGTGTCTTGTATCCGTGTGCCGATGGAGAGAGCCGAGAGGGAGAGCCCGAGTCAGCCCATGTCTGTTTTATGAGTATGTTGAGTGTATCAATGTGTTAGAGCTATGGGCCACGGTGGCATGGCTGTGTAGCCGCAACGGTGATGGTCCTTGGTTCTTTTTCTCACGCTCGTGGCAGAGAGAGGGAGATTGGTTTCAGCTGTTACTGCTGTGTATCTTTGTCATGCATGGAAAGAGAGTGCATGTGTGAGAGGTGTGCTGTGTGTGTCATGCCCATCATTGTTGCAGACATGGTGTTCGACGAAATGTCCCAGAGGGATTTTGGGTTTGCTTCGGCGAGGTGGTGAAGAAGAGTGAAGGTATGTGTAGAAAATTCTAGCGGACTAGGTTGAGGTCCGGCGGGCGGCCAAGGCGAGGTTGCCGTCCGCCGGTGAAGCGAAAAATACTAAGTTTTTAACCTAGCTCTGATACCATGTAAGATAAATTGATAGAGAGAGAGAGCATAAATTGTGTATATATTGATCTATTGAATGTTGTATATTACAAATGGTGAGGGGCTCCTTATATAGGAGAGGGACTGAGAGTGGCCGAAGCACAATTATTACATACAGCCGAAAGGCTAACAGCACTAGCACTAAAGTAAGCATAAAGTAAGCATTAATATACATTAGCATAAAATATATTAACATTATTGAATAGAGATTTGCCCACAGTAACAACCGTTTTCATGAAATCTGCTTTCACCTGCGACTTTCGAGTGGGCATCCTGAATTCTGACAAACATGTACTTACAGTCATACTCGAGTTGACTATGAATGTTTAATGGGTGTTTCGTAACATAATAATAATAATAATAATATTAGTAATAATAGACGTTTGTTTAAAATATGATTTGTCTTCTATGCTTCTATAAATTAAGGCTCATCCTTTGAAATTTCTAATTTTATAATAAATAGTCACTTTTATCAATAAATTATCAAATTAATTAATAGTTTTTAATGATATTCAAAATTTATTTCAATTAATAATTCAAGTAATTTAATTATTGTATAGTATAGTTAAAGATTGAGGATTTACACACAAATCCTAATTTATGAATTTATACTCCATTAAGTTTTAACTAAGATTTTTTGGACTTTCAAGTCCCATTAAATTTTTAATAATCGAAATTACCATTCAAACAATGATTGTTCATCATTTTTTATTATATATAAAGGAACATAATAATTTGACATTTATTTTGATTTTTAAAATTTTAAAATACCAACTTTCAAATTGAAAAAACTAAAAAAAAAAAAAAATTATGTGCAAAAAAAAAAAAAAAATTAATGTTTTGTTTTTTGAAAAAATTAAATTATTTTATATGCAAAATTGAAAATTTTGTGTTTATAAAGGAGCAAGATGATGGAACATTGATGTGCAAAATTGAAAAAAAATAAAAAAAAACCTTTAAAAATGAAAAAAAAAATGATAATGTTCTCAGTTTTAAAACTTAAAAAAAAAAAAACTGATAATGTTCTCGGTTTTATTAGATAGTTGAATCAAATCAATAAGTAGAAAGGGCAAAAATGCTTAATCTCATACTCTGTTTTTTTTCATCAGTTAGTGAAACAATTATCTAGAACACTACTATGCAAAGTTGATAATGTTCTTAATTTTAAAAATTGGAAAAAATTGATATTAGTTTTACTAAATAAGACTTATTGGTTAAAAAAAATCTTAGATAGGACCTGAGTTACCATAACATTTGTAAATAGAACTTTTAGATAATTAACTCTTAAAAATTTTATTTTTTCAGTTAATTCTGTTAAATTAAAAATTCTTATAAGGGAGTATTTGTAATTTTTCAAACCATATGGAAACAATCTATATTTTCAGTATACCTCAAGGGATGTATTTATAATTTATCCTAATTAAAAACACAAAAGATATAAACCCAGAAAGCTTGCCATCAAATTTGTCTATAAAATGAATGGTGGCAACAATAGGAAAAGTACTCAAATTTATTTAGTAAAGTACATCAATGTATCACACTCATGCTAAGTGTGATTTACATTTACCAACTTCAAATCTACACCACTCAGCACTCACCTTCAGGATAGAATTCAGGACATAAATTCGTATCCATAACATTTTCCATATAGTGGAGATTGAAGTTGATGTGTTGTGAGTTATATCCATAATGAATCTGGTCTAAACAATTCAAATTTTGAATAATTTTTTAGATATTTTTTTGTAAGTTTGTATCATTGTTGTACTTAAAAAGCTAATTTTTGTTTAAAAATTCAAAAAGCCACCAAGCCATTTTTCATTGGTTAAAAAGCTAAATTTACCATCAACATTTTTCACTCACAAAAAAATAACATTTTTAATAACTTTCCAAATACATTAATAATAAAAACAACTAACAAATTAAAAAGTAAAAAGCCGCTAAAAAAATAACTCCAAACTTACCCTTAGACGAGCGGCCTTCTCCACCATTGACCTTCCGTCTAAGCTTACCTATAGACGAGCAGCCTTCTACACCATCGATCTCCATCCGCCCAAATTATCGTTAAAACTGTAAATTCATAAATTTTATATCAATAATGATAACAATATCAATAAATAAATAAATAAAGGGTTAATTACATTTTTAAGGGATTTTTGGCCAATACCCCCTCATTAGTTTCCTTTAAAGTGAAAAGAACAATCTAAACTTTTTTAATTTATAAACCTCATGGAGAAAAAGCGTTTCTTTCATCAAGGACAAATAAATTTATTTTCATTTTTTTAGACAATCTTACCCTTAGTAGTTACTTTCATGTTTCAAACTTTAAAATAATATAACTTTTGATCTATATATTAGTTTTTAATAAAATTAGTAATTCTAGAATCCTCTCGTCAATATCTATTAAACAAAATTCATGTTGACTATGAAATTCTTTTAAAAAAAATCATATTTTTTTTTGGTCAGAACTAACGTCAACGTCAAATTTTACTTACTGTGAATAGAGTAAAATTTTACTATTTACATCAATTTTGATGGTAATTACTTTTAAAAAAAAAAATTCATAGTCAACCAAAAAATCTCATTGATGGAATAGCAAGTCTGTGGCTATCCCCTTTGTTTTGGAAAGTGAAGCTTTTGCTATTTGTCAAGCTTGTTTAATGGCTCAAGCAAAAAACCTTTCGAATATTGAGATTTAAGGTGATAATCAGTTTGTTATCTATCGCTGTGTTTCCTAACGCTGTGTTTGATTGGGGGATTTGAGAAGAGATTTGGAAAGTAAAAGGGAAAATATGCGTAAAATTAAGTGAAATATAAGTATGTTTTATTTATATTTCATCTATCTTTTTCCATTTTTCTTTCTAAATTCCTATTCAAATCTCCCAACCAAACACGCCATAAATAGTCCCTCCTTGGAAGTGCAAGGCCATTATTCATGACATCAAATGTTTCGCTCAGCAAGGGAGGTTTTCCTTCCGTTGGAGTCCTGATTGGCAAACATGACAGCTCACTAGATAGCCCAATCCTATCTTCGAGGGGTTTTGCCAATTTCTTGGATGTCTTCCCCTCCCCCTGGCTTAGTGTTAGTGCTTGCTTTGTAATTGCTTGGTTTCTGGTGTAATGTTTTTCTCAAACCCAAAAAAAAAAAAAAAAAAAAAAAAAAAAAAAAAAAAATTATTTGATAGATTTTGATGAGAGAATTCAAAAAATACTAAATTTATTAAAAAAATCAACATTTAAATCAAAATTTATATTTTTATAAAGTTTAAAATATTAAATTAGTCACTAAGGATATTTTGATAATAGTGATGTATACTAGATTTTTCACAAAAAACTTTTTATACTTGTCCCTAATACATTAAAATTTTATGGGTTAAAATTCATTTAACCCTTTGTGGTTTGACTGTAGACCACCTTACCCTTATATTTTAAAAATAGCCAATTACCCCTTATGATTTTGGTCATTTTGTAATTTACCTCCCTACTGTCAATATTTCCATCCAAATTGACAGAGTTCATACCTCACACTCCATAAATTCGAGTTCACAAGAAAGTAAATCAATTTAAAAGGCCAAATATGATATAAAAACACAGTTTTGCCCTTAACTTCATCTTCAACCCTAATCATAAAAGCACCCCAATCACCCCCCAACATCTAGCCACATTACTGTCACTATTCGGCTGTAAAGTCACCATCTTCCATCGTCGATATGGTAAAAAGAAAGATGACGTCTTGCGCTGCAATCATCATCGACATCTACGCTTCCCATTACTATGACCCTGCTTCAATCTCCACTCTTTGATTATCAACGTGTCCGTCGTAGATGTCCAATGGTGAGAGTCAAGGAGGGATGTACAATTTTGATCTTGTTTTTCTTTCAATTCTATCGATGATTTCTCAGCAACCAACTTGATTACACTTAGCATTAATCAAATCAAGTAGAAGATCATGAACAAGAGAATATTTGAAATAAAGAATAGAGTGGTTGCTTTCTATCCAAAACTTTCCCCATTTATTATGGTCAGACTAATCAATACTCAACCAAATCAATACCCAATTTGATTATATATACATATATAAAAACTTGTGTATAAATAAACCTGTAAATATAATACGGGAAATTAAGTGTACCCAATTTGATGTATATATATAAATACTTATGTATATAATGAGTTAACTCCGTTTAATCCTTTGTGTATACATGTGTATATGTAATGAGTTGACACGTAGGTTCAAGAGGGTAAAATAGTAAATTTTTAATTCTGTTAATAGAGTTAGGTGTTAGGTGTTGCATTTTAGTCTAAAACCATATGGGGTATCTGATTATTTTCAAAAGACAAGGGGTAAAATGCCCTAGGGATAAATCACAAGGATAAAATAAATTTTGCCCAAGTCTTATTATAAATGGGCTTTGACCAAATCCCTCAATTTTTAGTCATCAAAGTATGAACTAATATCATTATTATTTTTAATATTTAATTTGTGTCAATTTGGAAGTGTTTCAATTTTGTTCTAATATATAAAAAATATTTAAATTTAGTTTCTAAATATTTAAATTATGTATTAACATAGTTAGATTGGAGGAGGGTGAGAAGCCGCAAAGATGTCAACTAGCATAATCAATTTGTAGTATCCCAAAACAACGTCATTTTCGGATAAAATTTTAAAAAAGAAAAAAGAAAAAAGAAAAAAGAAAAAAAAGAAAACAGGGAGACAGAAGAAACCCATCACCGGCCACACTCACTGGCAACCCCTCTCCAGTGTCGTCCACCATTCTAGTGCAACCACTTCGTTTGTGTACAAATCCATCGCTGCTCTAGCGGCCACCCCAACCACCTCTTCACCTTCTACTCCTC